TGCTCCAGAAGTTGCCAGTAATACTCGTGTAACACTACAAAAAAAAAAAAAAAAAAAAAAAAGAACACGCGCACCCCACATTTGCAGTCTAGCTTCTTTTTGTCATAGCATACCTGTACGAGGTAGTGGTGTCACCATTTGTTCTGCGTCTGCGAGCGTTATCGATCATGTTGCAGATGCGCTGTCGATCATGTTGCAGATGCGCTGTCGTAGGCTTTTAGATTACGAACACTCGAATAGTTCAAACATTCTAAAGCTTGATATTCTGATGCCTAAGCTAATTTCAACTACGAGACATATATCGTAAAAATTCTGAATTTGGTGTCACGTGCAAAATCTCAATGTATTGCAATGGTAGAACTTTAAAACAAACATTGAATGACATATCAGGTATGAATTAAGCATTAGAGTCAATTTAAGCGCGTAATTCATCTGGTCCACATTGCATCGAATGAAGTGCGAGAGGAGTTCAAGTTTAATTATAAAATAATAAAACGCGTTATACGTTGATAAAAAAAAAAAACTCGCCAACTACAAATTTTTTGTGTTCTTTTTTTAGGCGCGTTAGGCTGGTTGCTCGTTCATTCCGTGTAAAAATAAGTGCTCCCTTCTCGAAGGGATTAAACACGGAGAAGACATGGGCGGTGTACTGCTTCATCCCCGCAAACATATATTTTTTTTTTATTTCCACCCATTCGTGAAGAGAGTGAATCTTAAAGGTATGCTGAACCGAAATTTGGAGCTCACAAAACAAGGCTGGATAGGCGAGATGCTGCAAAACCCCTTTCAAACGTCACTCATACAGAACACGACCGACGAGGCCGACCAGACATGTGACGTGGCGATTCTCATTCCCTCTCCTCTTCGCCTCGTCCACTCGAGTTGCCTCGAAGCCTCGGGAGTCGGGACTGTGAACCGAAGCGAGGAGGAGAGAAGCGAGGCCGCTTCCACTCATTCTCAGCTGTTCTAGGAGAATCGTGACGTCATTTAAGATGTGGCCATCCGTTTGAGATATCGAGGTATGAGTAATGTTTTGGACTTCGTAGGCGTCCCGTGTAACGGTTCTGCGGCCTAATTTTGCGAAATTCATATTTCGGTTCAGCACCCCTTTTGACCTCCTTTACCCTCTTTCTAACAATACGTCCTCAATATGTGAATGACCTTCAATCGTATTTCTGCCCTGGTCGGTGGAATCCAGTGCACTACGCCTTCCGATAATGCAACTCGTCCCAAATTACACTGCCCACTCTGCGAATAAACTTATATTCAAACTGGAGGCAATATGCCGCACTGTAAGGCAGCGATCAGAAATCAAGAAACTCCTCATTTCGGGCAGCGTCCTCTGCTGTTGTTGATGTGCTACAGCGCCAGGGATGAAGTTCGCTCTCAATGCGTTGTCGCCCTTCTCTGATCGCCTTACCCTATTTATAAATGATTCTATCCGACAGCGTTTCCTCGCAATACTGTATTTTTACTCTTGCGCAAATTTCCGAAGGTTTTTTTTTTCTTTCCCGGACAAGAAATTCATTCGAGAAACAATAATAATAACAATAATAACAATAACGTCAGAACGAGGCCGATCTCTGATTGGCTTTGATTGAAAGGATAGTGGGTAGACCTCAATGCTAGATGTCTTAAGGTCTACCCACATTTTTGTTTTTTTCCCAACCAGTCAATAAGAGTTTAGCGTTTTGACATCAGTGCAACCGCTGTGCTCTCTAAATAAAAAAGGGTGTCACCTTGCACCATTTTTGTCGCATATAATGTACACGAAAACTTTAGTTCGACGTAGAGCGCACTATGGTCCAACAGACTGCCCCAAATTTCACGAGGGGCTTGATAAAGGTGCAATATAACTTATCAAATAGCTAAAGATCAAAGACCACGGAAAGAAAACACTGGGGTTTTGCAGTAGAGCCGATAAGACCCCGATTATTATTATTATTTTTTTTTTGTAGTCAGTAATGCGTACGTTAACTATTTTAATAAGTTGTACCACACGGCTATCAAGCCTGTTGTGAAAGTTAGTTCCGTCAGATCGACGTGACTGCGCTGTACGTCGAACTGAAGTTTTGGGGTGTATTACATGGGACAAAGGGTGTAAGAATACACCCTTTTTCTTTTTTTACTGTTAAAGAAGCAGACGAACTTGCGCTGCACACTGCACGTGACCACGGAGAAGAGTGAAGGCGACTCAAACTGGTCGGTCCTCGATCGGCGGTTTTCGGGCGGAAAGAAAACGAATTTCGAGCCGCGAATTGTGTTCTGGGTAGCTGGGCTCTCATATGTTATGTACAAGTAAAAACCTTGGCGAGCATAAATACCCTGTCAGTGTCCCTTTAACGGTAAGCGTGACGTCACGAACGCCCTGGAGGCGGCTGATCTCCCCGAGACGCGCATCGCTAGAATCCGCCGTTTGGAACGAAAAAATATAGCCGGCCGTTTAGAATATAAGCGTGCGATCGTCATTAGCGGATTTCGTTGATCATCTTTTACTCACTTCTGAATGTCAGAGTTATACTTGAGTCTTCATTTCAGTATCCCTCAAACATAGCAATGAATCGGGTTAAAACAGAAAAATAAAAAATTAGACGCGCTCAGCCTCATATATAACGGTAAACATTTCTGCATGACGCTGGCAACGGTTACATGAAGCGGTCAGTCGATTTACGAAGGCGACCGCCAAAACGCATCCGTTGCCTCTCCCGTTCAGCTTTGGATGAGCGTGTACGCGCTCGAGCGCCATCGGACGCGGGAAACTCGCGCCTCCAGTGCGAGTTTTCCCACCGTTCTTCTGCTGTCGGTGACAGGTGACTCATGTGCAACGCTGTCAAAGCTGCTGGCATGAAAGCCAGAAAAGATAACAATATTTTTGTCAATATGAATGTTATTTGTTTTTTTGTATTCGAGTCATTTGACGTCAGCTCTGCATGAAGTGTGCGTCCCATATTCGCAACGTCTCGTCTTTAACTTTTAAAATGCCGGGTTCTGGTGTTAGGACACACATCGACGTTTAGGAAGATGAAAAGAGTTGCAACGTCGAACGTGATAGTTCTCTGTTCAGCTTTATGCGGATACATGAAAACCGCGAAATAACGCTAAAAAAGCAATATTATTTTGTTTGGGCACAAACTTCTTGTGAGCCGAAAACAGGATTGTTATAATTGCAGGGAGTGCTTTAAAGTAATTGTCAGTCAATGCTTCAACTACCTCATTGCATCACTAAAGAAGTCAAATGAAAATTGCGTTATCCAGATTGTATCGCATCATTTGTCATTGTGCAGTGGACTGCGTAAGACCCGCACAGTTACCGTGTTGACTACTCCACACCTCGCTGTAACCGCGGGTTGTTTCACACTATGATGGTAACTACACGTCCGCGCGGCGTCCATTTGCTATCCGTGGCCCCGTCGCGTTCTCGCGCGTGCGCAGACTTTTGCCGAATCTTTGTCAAACTTTCCTTCAAAAGTTCGGCATATGCCGAACTTTGCCGAATTTAAAGTTTGGCAGATTCGGTCCATCACTAGTATTTGCGGCTTTTTATTACATTTCTGTTTTTAATATTGAGTGCGTGCCTTTGATGACCCACGACGTTGATTATATTTGTTGGATGTGTCTAAACCATAGAAAACGGCACGTAACCAAAAAGAAGAGAGTGAGCTCGACTCAACCCGGACAGTTCTTGACTGGCAGTTTTCGGGTGGAAAGAAAATAATATCGAGCAGCAAATTGTATTCTGGATAGTTCTCTCATATGTCATATACAAATAAAAACCTCAAAGATCATAAATACCCTTTCAGTGTCCCTTTAACTCTCGTGATAAGATTTGTCTGTTCTAGAAAAATTTAAACTTTGTTTTTCAAACTTGGATTGAGCGCGTTGGTAATAGATTCAAAAATACGAAAGAGTTAAATGGTTAAGTACGAAAGAGTTCTTGTCCGTCCCCTTTGTCTAACTTTCGTATATTGAAACTTGTTTTTCAATATTTCAAATTATGTTGTTAATAAATCAGACGCGAGAAGATATATTTTCCTACTAAATGTTGAAAAAGACCATGTCACTACGCCGAAAGTGCGAACAACAGTTCACGTTCTCCGTGGGCTTCACGGCATCCTTTACCGCCTTATCACGATATTCCGCCGCCATTGGATAATTAAACGAGTGCAGTTGGCAACCGAGCTTACGTGCGTTTTCCGCCAACAGTGGCAGATGGCAGCACCTGGCGTGTGCCGCCATCTTCTACCTTCCTTGTTCCGTTATCCAATCAAAACATCGGATCCGTGACAGACGATCATGGCGGATTCCGACGTGAATAGCGAGACAGACCCTTCGGCGTCGATTTCGCATTCGTCGAAGGTATTTCACCCGATATTGTTCCTCGACGGTTCGTCGCGGAGCTTGAAAGTTTCTCGATACGGCAGCTCATGTCGCTGTGTCAACGGCGCAGTTCACTCGGCTGGCTCTAAAACCGCGATGCTGCGATTTTAGTACGTAGCAGGAGTCCTCGGAAATCTAATATTTATGCGTTTTTTTTTTCTTTTTGTTATTTGCATTGTATTTATTCGCGACCGACAGGTATTTTCGGCACTCACTTGATCGATGTCAGTCGAAGATGTGGGTAGCGGTGTCCGCGATGTTTTCTTTCTCGAGCCGTTATTGGCGTAGCGGATGAGAGGGGCCGTCCGAATACCAGCTGTTTTTTTCGAGCCGAGCGCCTCCTCGTAGGCTTGGCGCTGCCACACAATGCTTAGAGACACGTTTGGAGTTTTTGGAACGTTTTCTCTTGTTTCCCCAGCTGTGGCAGTCGGTGGTCTCTGGCGTATCGTTTGCTTTCTCACTGGCGTTAAATGGCGGCGGTCGCTGCTGTTGCCTCGGCACGCGTCGCACTCTGAGACGAAAAGCTTCGCTTCACGGTTGAAAGTGTCGCGTTGTGTTCTTGTTTTGAGGCTTGCAAATCTAATATTGCATTGGTCTGTTGTCCCCACCTTTCCGCATCGCAGCGAGTGAAGGAGCGTCGTCACTACACGGAAGACTGTCTTCAGGACGACGAAATCGAAGGGCGAAGGATGTTTACCGTGGAGGATAAAGTCACCAGCCCCGCTTTCACCTGCACCTTCGTTAAAGAGATGAAGGGGGAAGGTATGGAACTCAGTCGGACCCTCTTCTCGTGTTCGCTCGCTCGCTCGCTCGCCTGCCTCTTTTTGTTTTGAAGTTTACCCCGATAGTTACTTCGATTCGATACTCTGCTCCGGGGGTAAATGTTTGTGTCGAGTGTCGCAAAGCGGCCTGTTGGAACTACGCTGCTTTTGGCAACAATATGTTATCTGTGTAAAGATCTCTCCACTACCGTCTGTTATAACATCTGCGCCTTTATAACAGGAAAAAGTCGCTCTTCCCTCCGTGAGGCCAGCTGCAATGGTGGTTGATCGCCTTTATGGATTGTGATGTCATTAATGGTTGGCATTATATAAACTGGTTGGCTTGTCGGTATCAAAAAGCAATGCACTGCATCCACGTATATACGGACGAAAGAAGAGAAACTTCCTTCGTCATTGTCTACATTATGGTGCTGTTTTTGTTTTTCTTGTGTGTGTGACATGTGTACAGTTTAGCACAACCTGCAGTCTTATCACTACATCCAAATTCTGTACATGTTGAATGCTAATATTGCTTCTTTTGTGCATGTGTTTGTGTTGGCAGATTTTTCTCTGAAGTACTTCCAAGAGAATGGATTTGAGTACCCTATGCTGTTCAAGAGCAAGGCAAACATGGGAATGAGGTGAGTGTTTGAGTCTTTGTTTTAATGAATGTGTCAAAACTAATTTGGCCATTGAGATTTGAAAAAAAATATATATATATATATTTTTTTTAAGTTCCTTCGAGTTCGTATTTTTAGCTTGTTCTCAGAAAATTTACTCTTTCACATATGACCTTATTTTGGTAATTTTAAAGAGAAATAATTCTTGTGAATGTGGTGATGCAGAAATTTCAGTTATCTTATCTTCTTTACAGGTTACCAAGCCACAATTTTACATGTAATGACGTCCGGCAATGTGTCGGTGAGTAGCCATGTGTTTTGCTTTCTCAGGCGTCTTGCTTTGACTAAGAGATGCGCATCGGTATCTCGAAATTGAAGCGTAGGAGTTTCGCACAATCGGCTAGTTCGCACGTACCGTTTGACGTGCGACAACTTCCTCGTTTCGACTTGCGAGAAATGCCCAAAGCATAGCACTGTCTGGCAGGGGCAATCAAGTGTTTCGCATCAAAAGAACGTAAAACGCCAAAATTGGGAGGTAATCGGCTTTATTTGAGTGTACGCATGCTGAGCAAATGAAGGTTTAACGTGCCAGGCACTTGTCAACCATGCTTTAGACCACTAGGCCTAGCCTATCCTTTATTCACTAATAAGCTAACAGTGCTGTCAAAGCTACATGCTCGTTGGGCCAGTCACACTTCTATCTTTTGCCACGTGATCACACTCCCTCGCGCATACCCACGCACATAGAATGGGATCAGGTGATGAAAGGGAGGCGGATGTTTGGTCCAGCAAGTGCGTAGCTCCCACTGCACTGTCTGCTTAAGGGTGAGTGGAGTATAGGCTAAGTCACGGAAACTGCACGAGCATCGACGCGCAGGCAGTTAGATAAATCTTGACACTACTATCGGTGCTGCTAAGAGATCAGCTAGCCGCAATCCTTCCTTTTATATGTAGCAACACTGAGCATGGCAGATAAAAACTGCTTATCAAACAAAGACTAAAAAAGACATAAGAAAATTTTCTGTGATGCGTGTATACCGGCCCACTTACCTTTCAGTGTTACTGGACGGAAGCAAAGGAATACGGAACCATGGTTGAATTAGGCAACATTGATCACATGCCGTAAAAGCTTTGTTCTCGCTGTCTTGTCTATCCACATTGGGCCTCTTCGAGGAAACCGCAAAATTTCTCGCTTTCTGAGTCAGTTATGAAAAGTGTAGAAAAGTGTGGCGACAGCACAGTTATGAAAAGTGTAGAAAAGCGTGGCAACAGCGTGTCTCCTGGAAGGGGCAACAACACCTATGGCTACATAGTTAGGGCGCTCTACGAAAGATGGCGCGCTGCACATAAAGATGTCTCACCGTGAATATAAAAAGAAATGCATATAAGCCGTATAAAACTAAAAATGTTCGGAAAAAAACGCGACTTATACACAGGGAAATGTGTTAGTACATTTTCATGGTTTGCCGCTTTATTGCTGCTTTATAGGCGTTGAAAAACTAATACTTGCATGTCTACTATTGCCACATCTATCCAGAGTGCCAGGCATTTTATATAAAAAGCTTCTCCAAAACTTGGATTGTTCCTTTTATAATTTATGCTTTTATAAGTAATTATTTCTACATTTCAAACACACATGGCACAGGGGTCAATTATTTTCTAGATGTATTTAGAATTATCCTAAACATAGATTATGTTTTAAAATGCAAATAATTAAAAAGAAACTAGGGACTCAATCACAGAAATATGCTGTATTAACAGTGGAAGACAATTTTAAGTATGTTCAGCGCAATTGCCTGGTGTGGTGATGAGCGAAGCGGTGAGGTACAAACAAAGGTGTTCTCAACTTCCTCATCTTATACATAAAAAGGTGATTGTCTACGATATTGAATCATCGCAGGTCAGAATCTCATCTACATATTGTCCGTTTGAGCTCTGCTGACATGATATCTCTTGAGTGTAGAAAACATTGCTTACGTAAAATATGGTTCTTCGAAAGTCCATCCCGTCGGATGGTTTTAGCAGACCTTGCAGCAAAACGGAACAAAGTGACGAAGCAGTTCTGTATCGCACAACTAATCCTCGTCTTGGTGCGTTCAGGGAGCCGCAGGATCCTGGACGTGATGGACGTGACCACCCAGAAGGACATTGAGATGACGATGAAAGACTGGTGTCGTTACTTTGAAAACCCCAACCGTGACAAGCTCCTCAACGTCATCAGCCTCGAGTTCAGCCACACCAAGCTGGAGAATTATGTCGAGTCGCCAAGCGTGGTGAGTAAACCAAGAAGGAAGTGTACGTGGATGCATGGACTCCGGAGTGCAACCAATAAAATAATAATAATAATAATATATATATATATATATATATATATATATATATATATATATATAAAAAGCCGGGTTTTTTGGGGGGAAACATTCGTTTACATGAAGGGTATACACTTTGCTTTTCTTGACTTGTCCGAGCTGCAGCGATGCATTTAGTGGCGGTTCCTTGTAGCGTGTAACAATATTGCGGGAGAAAAGCGCTTGCCCCATGGTTTTATTTTGCTGCTAGATGCATTGCCAACAAACTGGCCACTGAAAATATGTTGTTCTTTCTCCTAAATATACCTGACCCATGCACAGAAAACATATCTAACAATTTTAATCAGGTTAGGGTTGTATCTTGCAGGTTGCGTTGCGAAGCCATCAACACTTGTGCAAATTATTATCACGATTGTGTCATGCAACATGCACCCATTTTAAAGGGAAGATGGGGCACTTCTATATTTGAGAAAAAACGCTTGAATTGCATTCATTTGGCGTTTAGAATAACAGATATCACAATTAGGTTTCAATGCGACGTGCCGGAGAGCCATACGACCAATTTCAAAATGGGGCTGAAGCCCCGCCTCCCTAGCCTTGGGCAGCCAAAAGATCCGTCGATGACGTCATGTACAGCGACTGTCTTTCGCGTTTTTCTCACCTTTAACAATACTTGCGCAGCAAATGGTTTGAGTATTCGGGTTCCTGGGGTAAAAATACCTAGAATTCACTTCAAACTCATTTTTCCCAAGAAGCTCCGTAGCTTCCCTTTAAGGGACGCCTCAATCCAATTCAACACGTCCCGTGTCATCGCCATTTTTGCTTTGTGTTGCCTTGAATCTTGCCCTTGAAATCTTTGAAAAGTCCTTGAATTTTGTATAAAATGTTTTGTACAAACTTGGAGCGGGAAAAGCAGTCGTGGATGTAACAGCCAGGGGAACGCACCAATTGAGGATGTATTCATGAGACTCTACTTTATTGTCGAGGTCGATGACTACCGTATATTGCCACATATCATTACCTTTTCAAAAAGAAGTACCATCTCATATTAAAAAATCTAAAACAAGAATACCAAAAAAATATTAATGAAAGAAGAAAAAGTATTTTTGTTTGAATTTGGGGGGAGGGGCGGTTTAGGCCTATATTTGGAGTTGGGAATATACAATACAACATGGAATATGCTTTCTTCAAAGCAAAGAGCTAACATCTTTGTTTTCTTGCTTCTAACATTGCCATTGGTATATTTTTAAAATAAAAAGTAATCACCATGTGCATATAACTTTGTTTTCTGATGTACTGAAAGCTCCTTGCCCGGTAGAAATATTTTTAAGCAATTTTTTACAGTGTCTGTTGTCAAACTGGGTTCACCAAAGTGGTTTTCTCGATTGTCCCTACCCATGAGTAGGACATTTTTCTGGCTTGAGCATTGTTTTAACATATCAGACCCAGGCATTTTGTGAGGCAAACATTTCTTAGCTTGTTCATTATCCCTGGCAGAGTCTAGATGCCTCCCAACTGTTTTTTTTCCCCAATGCCCAGAGTTAGAAAGACATATTGGTGTTAATAGTAGTAATAATCTTTATTAGCAAAAAGTCAAGGTACCCTGGGTGCCTTGCAAGGCTAAGCAGGGTCCCTTATGCATAAGCATCTGCTAGCCAGCCGCCCAAAATGCTCGAAATCAGATCAGTAGTGAATTCAGCACAATGTGGTCTAATTTGTCTACCTTCAAAAATATTTCTTTTAAATGCTGCCTTCGATTGTACTGAGCTACTTGAAAAGCTATACATTGTATGTTAATTTGACATTATTACTGCAGTTATTTTCAGCTGTTCAAATTGCATCTCTCTACAGTTGAGTGTGAATTTCCCACAATACTCTTCTCAAATTTTAAGTCGGCCACCACAAGATGAAATTAATCTGAGCAAAAAAATGTTTGAGCAAATTTTTTGTGGTGCCAATATGTTGTTCTTTTTAAGTATACAGGGTTGGTTTACCTTAATGGTTAGTTCAGAATGGTATGATCCAGCTGTTCTTTCTTATATTTACTCAGAGATTGACATCACAACGTTCAGGTGTGCATATAGGCACACAGAATCTACTTACTCTGTTTTAACAATTAAATGTAGCTTCTAAAAAGTTGTGCGGAACATCTGATGAGTGTGCGTAGGTGCCAATTAAAAATAAAAACAAATAGCAGATACTATGACTGCCTTAACAAAGGTACCTGAATCATCTCAATCATAAGTTAACCAAAACGGATTATTACTTATTTTTGTCTGGCTTACATTGTTTTGTACCTCAGCTGTCTGGATCCTGTAGTTGTTTTAGGAATAACTTCTTTTTTTATATATATATTTTTGGTGACGTTGGTGCGAAACACAAGTTTTTTTAAGCGGCTTGAGCCGCAGGTGCGGCAATTCCTTGGTGCGGAACAATGGACATGCACGCATCTGTGTGTTGACATTTGAAAGGCATTTGAGTTACTTGTTTACATATAACCTACGGCAAGGAAGTATGAGGAAAGCGCAGCAGCAGTCGCCAGATATTTTGCAAGATCTTTTAATAAAATGCTGCTCTATTACTGGTTTTAAAACTTGAAAACTTTTCTACGCCAAAGGATTGGTAATAGGATTGCCATATTTTCCAACGTACAAGTCGCATATATATATATTTCTTTTTTCGTTAATACGTCTTGTACAGCGATGCATCTTGTACAAATTTTTTCTTTCTTTTGCTATAACTAGTATGAATTTTCACTGCACATGTTTGCTGTGGTGGTTGTCCTTGTCTTTTTTGCGCTGTTTTGTATGTTTAAGCAAGAATATTCTTACTGGCTCCTGCTTACGGATATATCACAATCACAATATGCATAAGCAGGCTTATCAATGCAGTTTTCTTTCGCCGACTGTACATATATGTGTGAGACTTTTCTCTAAAAACGACCGTTTAAAGGTGGTGTGAATTGTAGACCAGAAGATGTGGCATATGGCTGTTTGGAGCTTTCCACGTTTGTATTTCTGCGTAAAACAAAGTTTGCATGCTTTTGGGCTTTGATAGCAGCTTGTGATGTTTACCTTGTAGAAACTTGGGAGTATAGCAACCAAATTTTGGGGGATTTGCCCGGTGCCTCTCAAAGTGCAACCTCATATTTTATTTTTATTTGTAGTGCAAGGTGTGATGGTTTTACATTGCCTGTTCTTTGTCGTTGAGTCAATGTTCCAGTTTCAAAATGGACCGATGAAACCTCTCTTCTCTGGGTACCATTGTATCATTGGTTTTAAGAGATGTTATGCATGCATTCTTTTCATTTCGATATATTCTGAAAGTTCAAATTCACGAAAGGATAAATATGCTTAATTATAGTCGGATGCAACCTGAGAACAATCTTTTAGCTCCACCCACAAGCGCATTGCGCCCATCTGAAGTGCCTCCGCCGTCGAGAAAGTAGTTCGCTAGCAACGTTGCTTTTTCTTCCTCCAGGAAACGTGTCTTAAACTACTACAATATTTATTTAATTCATTCAGGACATTTAAATAGGTTAGAATATGTTTTTGTCAACGAAATAGCTGTTTAGTAAAGAAAGAAAGTCATGTCCAATGTACAGTCTTCCCAATTCATTTTCTGTCCAAGATACTCTCTAACATACCGTCTTCCGGCGCCTTCGTTTGAGGGAAAGTGCAAATAATAAATATTTAGTGATTTACTTAGTTTTGTGGGCTTTGCGCACGAAATGTGTGCCTTTATTTTGTTGGATGAATAGAAAACAAGAATAATTATACTTTTCGGGTTTTGACAAATCGGCACCCTCCCAAGTCATCGACACCACCACCGCGCCCCGCTCTTTTTGTCTTCCGTCATGGATCCCACTGAGGTGACATCGGAAAGCGATTCCCCTGATTCTTCTTGGACGAAACAGCCTGGTGCAGCCTTACCGGCGCTAAGCCTTGAAATTTTCGTTGGCGATAGCGTCGCTGGATTCTCACGTTGTCGCGCAAAAACTGCTGCAAATGCAAGCCGATACCATTAAGATTTCGTGGCGTAACCTCGGGCACGTAAAACACTGTGCAAAAAAGCAGAATAATTGTCACGAGAAACTAGTGTCGCGTTGCTAAGGCCAGCAGCCATGTTGAGCTTTTTTTTTTTTTTTTTTCAAAAGGATCGCGATTGGTTTACGGAATCGTGGCGTCATGAAAACGATTGGCTGGAATTTCTCGGCGTAGGATTACATTTTCCTCTGAGAGGCATTTCCGGTTTTTTCTTAGCTTGCAACCGACTATAGTCTACGATACTGGTGAGTCCTGAAGACTTTTTCTAACCTGCTTCCGCAGCGACATTGTGTGGCTGCCAGGTTCTATGAACATCTGGCACGATCACAAATTTGACGGCTCCGTGCTCTGCCCACTTAGCACTGTCCCAACGTTTTGCCAAAGCACAAGCAGCCGAGTGAAGGTGCAGCTGTTAGTTTGTAACTACACAAAATTCTTGCGGCATCTGATGCATGGCCAAAACGTTTTGGATAAGTTTAAAAAAAAGTGTAGCTGTAGTCGGCCATAAATCTTCACGAATACATAAAATTTCTGCGGCACTAAATGTCCCATTATCAGAGATTGTTTGCACATCCCAAACACTTTTGAGTGTAGGAGTAGTGTGGCTCTGTTTGAAAGGTGTAGCGTTAGGCTGGAGTCCTGTCTTTTATTTGAATTAAGGCATCACTCAAATTACAATGCATGAATTATGGAAGGGTGAACTTTGGCTCTCCTTCCCTTTCGAGAAAAGCAAATTATATCTTTTAGTTAAGACAGCATAAGGTCGGTCTGCCTTTGAGGTATCACAACACTGCAGTAATTTAATTGCTGCGCCAAACTGCGCCAGGTGGCTAACCCTGCTACATCCTGCTACATTTTGCCAAAATATGGGCAATCTGCACCAAGCCTGCGCCAAAGGACCAACTTTGGTCGCCTTTCTAATCCTAAACTAAACTGAGTACCGTAATTGAGCACGCTGTGAGCTAGGTGGCGCAAGCGGCTGTCCGACACAAAGTACCCTGCATCAATCGCTCATCCGGTCTTGCATGGTTTTCCTGTCATGTCTCGTTCCGGTCAACATCGTCTTGCATTTTTTTATATTTTTTTTTATTTTATTATTATTGTTTTTTACGATAGACGCGGGCATGTGCGGCGCTGCGACGCTAACGTGCTGGAGTAGCAGCCATGCCGTCATGCTGGGAAGCGAAACCACATTTTTGCGCGGCGGGAGTTCCTTTGTGAGCTGAAGCACTCGCTGCTGAAAGCAATGGCCGTGGGAAAACTATATTTGGTCCCTGCCTGCCAGTCACCATGGTCGCGCGACGTCGGGTGTTGTGCCGTCCTCATGTCGCTGCAGATATGGTGCTTTCTAAAATGTAACTAAATACCGCCGCATGTTCATCAACATCCCTGTTCTTGTTTAATACACTACCACAAAAATCCCTCTTTAGCTCGAAGACTTCTGTGTCGAAGTATTGATTACCTAGGTTTTTCTCGGTGGGTTTTCTTTCGAGAGGGATCCCGCTACGTGAAAAATCTGCCACGAAAGAAAGTTGGTGAAGGGAAGTGAGCTAAAGCATAGAAGGTAACGTCTGCACGCTGAACCCGCACAGCGTGCTTGTTTGTCTCGAGTTCAGTCGTTGCACAAAGCGCTCCAAGAACTTTTTGACCCTGGCTCGTGATGTCTTGCATCGATGTGCTCAGGTTCTTTTCTCTTTTTTTTTTTCTGTGTGTTTAGCTTGTACCTTGCCTGCCGGCCTGGCAAGCATGTGCCGCTGGACTGTTTTTTTGTCGTATGCTGGACAGTTACATTTTCCATACAATTTTGGGAACCAGTTGGCGACGGAGTGGAGTGGCATGTTTTCGACCGAACAGCCATCTCCGCTCTCACGACAATTTCGCATTGCACTGCAGTAATTAAGTGTTTCATCAGTTGGAGACGATTTCATTTATTTTATCATTAGTCAACCTAATGCTGTGCTATTTATACTGAGCTGGTCATTTTCAAATAAATTTTAGTATGTGCACTTTGGTTCTTATTTACCTATAGCGTGTACATATATACGTATCATTTAACTGAAGCATTGCAAAATCTGTTATGTCATTGGCATTTCAGTTACGTGTTTAAAGACTCCCAGGTGGTCTAACTTGACTATAATTTGTTTATTGCAGAACCAAAGTGTCCTTGGTTTGTCCAGCACTTGAAACAAATATTTTTTATTTTTCTAAGAATATCTGCTCCAAAAGCCACTTTTGCTGCTCCAAAACACTTTTTTGGCTGCTCCAAAAGCTGCTCCAAAACGGCTTAAGCCAATCACATCACTGCACTGGTTTATGTCATAAATGAGGAATGTAGCCAGTGGAGTATGACTGTTAGCTCGAGGTCTTTAATGTGCGCCACGCAGTAGTGAGTGACGTACAAACTCGCGTCAGTGCAATGCTCGTCCAAGCCGAAACAGACAGGTGCAGGTATCAAACCTGTTCTGGACCAAAGGTACTGCCGGAGGTTGCAATAAAATGCAAGAGTCGCGTCTTACTGTAATTATAAATTCACAATTGAAAAATGTATGGGGAAAAGAGTGTGTGCCCTTTGGGCCTAATTTCAGGTTTTTGCGAAGCACAACGACCTAATTGTACAATGTACGATGTACTTGACCTTGCGCCATAGTTCCACCTTGTACACAGCGCGACACTGCTTTTTTACTCGGGGAGGATACCGGTGGGCATCAAAATTTACTTCAACACCGAGCAAAAAACTAGAGAAAGCCGGCAACGACCCCGTCTGCGCCAAAGGCGTCGCGGAGCCTGTAGTTCGTGAGGACGCCATTCCTTAGGCCCGACCCTTGAGGAGTGGGAACCGAAACTCTCGCAGGTCCGCCAGGTGGACTGGGTGGACGTGGTGTGGCCGAGGCACCTGAAGGAGCTCCAGACGGAGGGCACCAACGCCATCGAGGACATGAGATACCCCAAGGTCCAGAAGTAGGTCTACCTTTACCTCTGGCTATCAAAAGAGAGCACAAGCTATGCTCCATCGCCTGCCGAACAGCGAAGGCTACAATCCCAGTGAGCTAGTCGGTGTGGCGGAGGGAGGCATGTGACGGCACTCTATCTCGCTGCTTCTGAACGAAGTTTGGCCAATGGGCTCATTTCCGAGGGGGTCGAAAGTGACTTCCAAGAGGGGAGTTCCTCCTCTGCTTCTTTTCCAAATGCTCGGGTTAGGCTCTCGCCCCTGCACCTTCGCTAGGGGTCATCACATGCCTCGCGTGCGTTGCTCCGATTAGCTCAAAGCAGCTGTGGCGTTCGCTTTTTGCCGAGTTGCGGTGAAGCAGAGTGCAGTAGCAAATGCACGACGAAGACGAAGTGGGGAAACTAACGTGACAGGATGAAGCTGTACTCGCATCTAAAGTTTTCAGTGAAAAGGACAAAAAGAAAACAACTTACCCAAAAAGATTACATCAACAAATGCCTACACATCCCCCAAGTACCATACTTCCTGTTCGTCAGTTGTTCTGTTTTCATAGTGTATAAGGTTTACCGACTCGCCCAATTCGCTACTTTGGTATGGTAGCAGACTCGGAAGGAACCTCCCGGGGAGTTGACTTCCCTGTAGTCTGCTAAAGAGACTTGGTAGATATAGATATCTCCAGAGTCGCTTTAGCAAATATCTGTCGATAAATTTATCTCCACATCCTCACTTTTTTTTTTTTCTATCCTTGTGTTGATATATGGGTGCCAAGTTATGGCAGCCATAATATTGCATTCTTTTAAAACATGGGGCTTAAAACATGTTAAAAATAGCCTCCTTTTTTTAGAAATAACAAGAAAACCTTCACAGAAAGGTTTATCATCCGTTTCATTGCATGCACCTTTCATTTATTTTTTGTAACGAGCAGTGTCTTAGAGAGTGCAAAGAATATGATCTCCAGAAATTTTGTTAGGAATTGAGCATCAGGTAAAAGCATTGCACCAAGGTGCTGTAATCAATTTTCATGGTATATACTAGTAGCTAACAAAAGTGGGGCCTAAAGGGGACAATGATAGTTACTATAATGCTACTGGTGTGCATTGCATGGCTCCTGTGTGTGACATAATTGCAGCAGATATCAGTTTCATTACACTAGATTTTATGGAAGTGTTGTGGTTAGTTTGTCCGACTTTCCACTGAATCTGGGCAAATGTTTCTGGCCTTCATGTTTTCCTCATATTGGGGCTTAAAAATCTAGTTTTATTTTGTTAAAGAAAATGGGGAAAAGTTCAATATTATTTCATCCACTGTCAGTTTTCTTCTATCAAGACTATTTCAGTGAAACCACACCTAGCATTCCTTTATTTAGGTCTCATGGTGTACATATCGAACTGTGTTTTTTCACATTACTTTAATTTTTAACACTGTACCCATCAGTGAGCCTGGCTTGGTGCATAAAACAAAAAAATACTAGACAAATTGATGAATATACCAGGGTTATGTGCCTATTACTAGCAGTATTAGTATTGTTATCATTAGGTATGTTTCCAGAACTACCAAGATGCTCTTTTTTATGCCAAAGTATGCATGATTTCTTTTGTCATTACCACAAATTCCAACATGCGAGAGTAGAAACAGATGGGACAAGACTGTGTTAATCTTTTTTGTACAGTTTTTGTACGTCGATACAACATCCTATTTCCATATTGGGGCAGAGCATGTTGTGAACCTTGATCTGTATTTAAGTTAGTCCTCCCGACCACCTAACAGGTATGCATGGGAAAAGAAATGGTTTTATGGCATTTTCTATAGACCATTTTTTTTGTGAACAGGCACCATGTTCGTTTTTGTAGCGCTGCCTGGCGAGATTCTGGTTCTGCGGCCATACTAGGTTGGATTCAAGCTGACCTTAGGGTGCCACTGGTGCATGTTATCTGTTGTCGTGTGCTGCGATTTGCATGTTGAAATGCCTTTTCTCAATATTTACTGTAGCAGGCGCAACAAATTCCTTTTGCTCGGGATTATAGCATCCACTGGTGCTTTTGTGGTGGGTACAAAAGTGGCAGTAATCGGGTAACATTGATTTCATGCTCCATTTGAGGCTCTTTATGGTTGCAGAAGCAGGCGCATTGCGAATGTTTTTGTAGTTCTGCTCCACCGCAAGGAAATATATTGTGACTAGCAGAACGACTTGCCAAATAAGTCGCGAGGAATGACACCTCAGGCCTTCATGGTGTGGGTGACTTGCCTTCCTGTGATGTGGCAAATCTCCTGATGCCAGATTCACAAAACGATCATTTGGACAAAAAAAGGCACATGCGACAAAACTTAAGAACAAATCCGTATTCACAAAGCAAAATTATTGCAAGTTTTGCATAAGTTACGATGGAACTCCTGTGTCAGCTCCAGAGGTATCTTACACACTTTTTAAAGGGGCCCTCCAACAGTATTTGAGCGTCGACTTTTTTTTGCGGTTTCTACACGCTAGTGGTCCCGGAAACCCAGGGGACAACGAAAGGGTTTGAAAATATTAGCGCATCATATTTTAATTTGACAACTCGGAAACACCTCCTCCGACGGTGGCGCCGCGAGGTGCCGAATGCGCGCGCATAACGGTGCTCCCTTTCACTATACGTCACATTCTTTGGGTTTCGTGATTGGCGAGAGCCGTCCAAGGAATTTTGAAGCGAAATAAAGTATATCACACGTTAACCATCATTATTTCTCTAACAAGTCATTTTTATAGAGCTAATAAAGTTGCAAAGTAAAGTTCAAAAAGGGCGAAAACAACGCCTTGTCAGAGCCTTGTCGCTCATGCGCGCCTCCCAGCGGCGTCCACGACGAACCATCGCGAGCAGACGACAAGTAATCTGTGCAGACAACGTGCATCGTATTTTCACTTGTGCGCCCCCGGTCCCGGTCAACTAAAAGCAGTAAGGGGAGCCAGGGGAATCCTTATTTTCTTTTAGTACTGTGACAGACTTTTCACTGTTCGAGTGAAGTGCGGCGACGGGACCGGTGCTCAACGGGACCGCTCACCAGTTTCTCCCTCCTACTCGCCGAGGTGGCTCCGGTGGCGGAGTTGCGGGAGACGAGTGTTCTGCGGCTGTCGAAGCGGATTGAGGCAGAGACGCGGCGCTTGCGTGGAGTGTCCTCGTACGGCGCGACGCCCAGATCCGCACTAAAATTCTGATAAGCCCGGTAAATTCATCGATGATGGCAACCCGATCCCAAAGCTACGATGGTTGCAGCTAGGCCTAATGGCCGACGAGCCGACCGGGCCGACGGGCTATCAATCAGACTCGCGTCCCATTGGCCAACCGCTTTGCTCCAATCGCTAAACTGTTTCATTTTACGTCATGAAGCGCTATGTTTTGCTTATTTAAAGTTGTTTTCTGCAATATTTAATTTGCTAATAACTCACAAAATATTGCGAATTTCTGTAATATTTTTTTTTCTCGGTGTTCCTGCTTTCATGGAGCTCCGTGTCAGCGCGAACTTCAAACCGGTCAAAACATTGTTGGTGGGCCCCTTTAATGATCAAATCAACATGGCCGACGCCTCCACTCGCTTACGTCATCGCAGTGACCAACGGGCACTTATTTTTATGCATGCTCTCCATGCAACTCCTGACTTCAAGCAGCAAGAGAGAAGAAAGCAGTACTCAAAACTGAACGGTGCAAAGATGAACACTGGAACCATGAATACCCGGAAAAGGTTACAACGGCGAAGCTATCGCCTACCAAGCGACCGCCAAGGGTTAGCTAGGAACGCTAGGCCCAGCGAGGCACACCAATGCAACATTACTCCGACGATTCCTGGCCAAGACAGTCTGCCCACAACTGGCTGGCTTGCTAAATGCTATATGCCTGCACAACTCTTGTACACCCTTCTTCTACGTATATAGTAGTTTGAACACTGACGTCGTTGTTAGGGTAAGAAGGCCAATCTCCGCCCTTCATCGTCGCTCAAAGGCAGCAGTGGCAGACACTCGTCAAAAAGGGGCACTTTCATCGATTCTACCTCCTGTTTTGGGTGATATAGAGCTCATATTAATGCTCAATTAATCACCTTTGCAACATGCAGCACATATTTTTTTTAGTGTGTTCCTTTTATTCTTACATGACTACTAGAAACATCAACATCTGTCTCGATAGAGCAGCTCGTTGAAGCTACGTGATGTTGGTGTAAACTTCCTCTGCCGCATGTCATGTCAGCATCAAGTTCTGATCGTCTAGTTTGTACAATCAATTCTAAAAGATTGGTCCCGAAGCGGTTACCGAGACGCATGCACTCCAGCGGCGAGGTTCCAGCGCTTCAACCGAACATGCACGTTTCTGCTCTCAGAGAGAGCAGGTATTTACGTGGCCCTTGCTGGCGCTCTTGTAGTTCAAATGCATCTTCTTGTACGCTGACTCCCTCCTGCATCCCCGTGACCGCAAGCACCGCGGCAATTCGTTTCCATGTGCGCCGCTTTGTAAACGAGCCATGCGAGCCATCTCCTTTTAGCTTAGCAATGATGGTAGTTCTGTCAACTTCTTAGTGATTCGAGTTCGTAGCGGTCAACCAAGGCAGTTATCCTGGCCTAGGTAAAGCTGGTCATTCGGGCACGTTCAAATTGCATGGCTCGTTTCGTTCAAATCGCGGTAGCGTCGACATTTCACTGCGAAGACGCAATCACTAAACAAGCGTTGCCGGCAAGGCCGCTCGCCAACATTTGTTGTGATCAGAAATCCATACGCTCCTAAGCATATCGAGCTCTCCGATTGGCCATTTATGTTGCCGAAGACGCTGTTTCCATAGCAACAGCCTGCTCTCAGGGGAACTTGGAGTGTACAGGACACTGGGAGTCCTCGTTTTTCTCCTTTCACATAAGAAAGTGTTCCTGAATACCAATTTTTCCACTCCTCATGACGTGCATATCTTACGAAAATTTTGGCTAAGTTGTCATAGCCTAAGACGCTCTTCCTAAATCTGGCCTCAAAGTTGGAATAAGTACTCATTACTTGTACGATTACACTGCGAGCAGCAAGCGAAGACAGTTCCGGCTTGCCCATGCGTAAATACTGGTTTTAATTTTATTAGCACTATCGTTTATCAACATTTTATTCAGAGATGGGGACAGGTGTGGTGATCATCTAAAACTAAAGACAGCTGTGTCGAAACTGAGCTCGTTGCGAACGAGCGTCGATTTATGACTCAGTGGGCTGTAATCTATGCGTGAACATGCTTCGGTATTCAGTATTTGTTTTATCTATAATTATATGTAATTTAGTTGCAATTTATGTTTGAGCTGTTTTACTACTATACTCCACAGAATAAATGTCATCCAGTCGTGTTGTCACGGTCCGCTTAATACAACTGTTCTCTGCAATCCTCCGCTTAATTTTTAACGGCCCCCTTTAAAGGGCAACTCCGCTTCATTTTTGTATTTGAAAAAAAAGCAAAAAAAACAATGCAGTCCTCTTCAGTATCACCTTGGAAGACTACACGTCAAATATTACAACCTAGTTCTACAACCATGCTCAGGACTTTAAATATATTAGCACTGCGAGTTGGGCTAGTTGGTACTTATGCATGGTGGTAAATGCGCTAAAAAGACATAGGGAGAGGAGGAGGTGTATGCCTCGTCCTGTGTACTTCTTTCTCTGTCCCCGTGGTTTTTTTTGGGCATATTTACCACCATGCTTTAAGCGTGTTGGTTAAATAGCCGTGAAATAGAAAACTAGGAAAAAATAGTATGTACCGAAAAATTCCGTGGAAGCGCCCACTTCGTTCAAGCACCCACTATTAACATGTTTTAAACTTGGGAATTCTGTAAAGTATACGTTAAGCGCCCGATTTGACCAGACAAGTGCCCATGTCTAGACTAATCCAGTTTTCAGTGAAAGTGGAGTGGGCCCTTCCCCGGTATTTTACAATATAACTATGTCGCAGCCAACTCATGAAATTCGGATGTGAGAAAATATTGCTTGGTAAGCCCTCAATGAGATTACGAAATCTTGAGCCCCAAAACTACTCGAATGTGTATTTCAGTATTGCTCTATTTTCTTGCATATGCACAGACCTTCATTTTTCTTAGTCAAAGACCTGGAAGCAAACCAAGTATTCATTTTCTTTCATACTTACCCAGATAGGCAACCTTTGAAATGCCAAGGATAGGGCATTGAAAAATTAATTATAATTCAAAGCATAGATAGTAAAAAAATATAAGCTTCTTTTACTGCTGTTTTATGTAGCAGCAGAAGGACTGCCCAGCCATTCTCCAGTGGGAAGCATTGTGCACAACTGGCTTTTTTGAGGCTTTTTTTTTTGTTGTTGTTTTCCGTCACAAAATGTATTGGGTTTGAAACTGAATTTAATTTCGTGTGTTTAAACTCTGCCTGTGGCATTTCCATTCTAGGTACTGTCTGATGAGTGTAAAAGGCTGCTACACAGACTTCCACATCGACTTTGGAGGAACATCTGTCTGGTACCATCTGCTGCGTGGGCAAAAAGTATGTACCTCTACGTTGTTTCTAGCGAACCTTTTTTTTTTCCCCCTTTGCTTTTTTTTTTTTTTCTTTTTATTTTTCCTTTGTATCTTGCCTGCTGCCTCTTGCAACTGCGGAATAGATGTGGAGGTGTCTTCTTGTTTGCAGCAACTAAGACAAGACTGCACTCAAAGCTAAAATGCCGTTGCGCCAACAATTCACAATGACAATGTGAAATTTTTTTTTCTGTCGGCAGTTTTTGGATTGAGTGGTAAGTTTATAGTTAATGTGCAGCTGTTGCAGTTAAAAATTAATGTATGCTCCCCAGAAGGAACAGGGTACAACAGTAACAATGGAAACAAGTTAAAAACATTCTTATATGCACTTTTAAGATGGTATTTGGCCTGTAAGAACATTAACGTGTACACTGCAGTTTGTTCAAGTATATTGCGTGCTTGCAAGGACCTAGAGTCTTGCTGTGTCGTGTTTTGTGTCATATCCATTTGTTCAAGGCCAAGTACCCCGCCACGAGTTCTATAGACCTTTCCAGCGGCAGTCTCGAACGAAGCGAGCGGGCAAAAAATGCTGAGTCACTGAGCTGTGGACGCATGCGCAGCGTCCGATATACCGCACAGCAGATCAACAGCGCATGCTCGGAAGGCGTTCCACAGCCCAGCAGACAAAGATGGCAGCGCGCAGGAGGCGATTTCTGCAGAGGTCTATACACTCCGGAGGAATGAGTGCTTTTGCTTTGTTGGTTACTGTTGCAGCGTCGTTTATTTTTTAGTATTTTTATTTACAATACTGAAAGCCCTTTCGGGCTGTTTCAGGAGTGTACAGCAATAAAACAACAGAAATAAAGAACCAAAGATCAAGAACAATCACCGCAATACAATCATTTGAGTACAATTTTGGTTGAACAACACCGCCGAAAGTCCCCTCCACCAAGGAATACTAGTATGGCTTTGCATATAAATCAAATAATACAGCTTCAAACTTATCGGCACTGCCAATCCCAACAAAGAGGTCGCTATCCAAACTATTCCACTGCTCAATTGTTCTTACAAGAAAAGAGTACTTAAAAACATCGAGATTCGGTAAATACGGCTTGACTCCAAACTGATTATTAACTCTCGGGGACCTTCTACGAGGAAGTTGTATATAGTCACTCGAACTGATGTTATAATGCCTATTGTAGAGTTGATAGAAAAATTTTAACCTTCCAATTTTTCTCCGCTAACGCAAGGTTGGCAGCCCCACTTTTTTTAATAGTTCTGTTACCGATTTCGTGCGGCGATACTCTGATTAAACAAATCTTAAAGCCCGCCGCTGGATACGCTCAAGTTGTTCTATTTGATATTTGACATATGGATCCCAGATCACGTACGCATATTCAAGAGGTGATCGAACTAGAGTCTTATACGCAAATAATTTAACTTCAAGCATTGTATTTTTGAGCGCCCGTCTTAAAAACCCAAGTTTTCGCAAAGCCGCACTAGACATTTTCTATATGTACCCTCCAGTTTAGATCGTTAGAAATTCTGACCCCTAAGTATTTAAAAGTTTCGGATTGTTTCAAAAGCGCACCATTATAGGAATACGGAAATATATTAGGCGACCTCTTTTTTGTGATTGTTACAAAAGTTGTCTTTTCAAAATTTATCTTCATATCTCATTTGTGACACCACTCATGCATAGTCATTAACGAGTCATTTAATAGCATTTGGTCCCGTTGTGAATTAACTTTGATGTACATTAGACAATCGTCTGCAAAAAGGCGGACTTCAACAGATAGATGAATTTCAGTTGCAATGTCATTTATATACGCAAGAAACAAAATTGGTCAAAAAACCGAGCCCAGAGGCACACCGGAAGTGACTGGCAGCAGCGTGGAAGTTTCCCCCGCGATCTCAACAAATTGAAATCTGTTTGACAAGTAAGATTTGATCCAAGAAACAATAGGGATACTTACCCCTAAATCCAACAATTGTTTAGCAGCTTCGAGTGCGTGACTCGGTCAAATGCTTTTGACAGATCAATTGACATCACATCTACTTGACCACGGTCATTTAAAACATGCGAAATAATGAGTCGCTTCAAATAACTGGGTGACGGTTGATAACTTCCTTCTAAAACCATGTTGTTTTTCGTAAAACAGATCATTCTGTTCGATGAAGTCTGCGAGATGTTTACAAATAATATGTTCGAGGAGTTTTCAGGCAGTAGAAGTAAGGGATATCGGCCGATAATTTCCAACATCAAGCCGACTCCCGGATTTATGATTAGGGACTACTTGCGCAAGTAACGAGTCCTTAGGTAGCCTCCCCTGGCTCAATGACGCTTGAAAAATAAGTACTAGAAACTCAACCGCTCTTGGACAGTAACGCCTCAAAAATGCATTTGGAATGTTATCTGGACCCGGTGCTTTTTTTATATCGATATTCAGTACCATAGAAGGAACACCCTAATATGAGACAACAATCTGTTTCAGGCGGACCAGTAACATTAGTTATGGCACTTTCACAATCATTATCTTCGGTAAAAACAGAATGAAAAAACCTATTAAATTCAGTCGCCACAAATGCTGGATTGCTGCGTACTTTTTCATCTTTCATGATTTCGTTGACTCTATGTTCCTTAGATGACAGATACTGCCAGAATCTGCGTGGCGAGTCCCTTAAGTAATTGTTCAAGGTAGTCGAAAGGAACTCTGTTCTAGCAGCCTTGACCTTTGATCATATTTCACGGCTTAGATTAGCATTCTCTAAAGCGTTCTTATTTTTCTGCTTTCTTTTTCGTTTTAGTTTACGTTTAAGGTGAATTATGTCCCGTGTTATCCATGGATTAGACTTGTTTCTTTTTATTGTTTTTTTTTTTTTTTTTGGAACAAATCTTGCAAAGCAGTAGCACCTGCTTTTGAGAAATAGCCCCACAAATAATCTAAGTCATTATTTTTATCTATGTGGTCTAGAGATAGTTCGAGATAATCTAATATTGATGTGTCGTCTGCTCATGAAATATCGTAAACAATTTTAGGGTCCGTTTTGTGAAAGCGTTATCTTGACTCTAGAGTCAAGATAACCATTTTATGATCTGAAATTCCGTGCTCTACACACACTTTGTAATTCGAAAAGTAATCGGATACGAGGCAGATATCTAATACAGATTGGCATGATCCCTGAATTCTGGTTGGTTCGTTAACTACCTGCGTCAGTCCATATTTATGCATTATATCAAACAAATATTCTCCATGTAATCTATCCGCTCTGCCTGGGCTTAGTTCGTGCCAACCAATATGTGGCAGGTTAAAGTCGCCCGTTAGGATAATTTTAGTTCTGTTTTTCACAAGAGTTGTTAAATAATCGTCTATTTTCTCGAGGAAATGAATTCCAGTGCCCAGGGCCCTATACACCCCACCAATTAAGATGACCATCTCGTCAAGGAGTAGTTTACACCATACGCTCTCATGGTCGTTAATACCAGGCAACGCCTCATACTTTAGAGAGTCCTTTATAAGAATGGCAATGCCTCCTCCTCTAGTTTCTCTGTCCTTCCGTAGCACCCTATAGTCCCTTGGAAACACCTCGGAGTCGGCAATGTTACTATGTAGCCAAGTCTCGGTTACGACAATAACATGTGGATCATGCTGAATAATAATATATTCCAATTCCGGTGCTTTGTTTAGTATGCTTTGTGCGTTTATTGTTATTATTCGTACATCGTTTTTCCTTTTATGTCAATTTTCTTGAAAGGCCATTGGTATGACGCGCACATTCTGTTGAACCCGCGTGTTCGTTACAGAATCTCAGACGTAGGCTACTTCATTTACGAAAAGTTTGCCATACACAAGTCGCACTTTATCTCCGTTCCGTTTCTCTTGTCGTGCCGTGTTCCAAAGTTGCTGTCGCTTTTCCACTGTTTCCTTTGAATAGTCATCAGACACGATCACGAGGGTATTTTTCAGTTTCCTGCAGTTCTTGAACACCAGCTGCTTTTCGTTGTAATTATATACCCTGAGGATGATGGGTCTGTTTTTATCGTGTCGTTTCGGGCCCAAACGGTTTCGGGCCCAAACGATGGATTCCTTCAACAGACGTCACAGTTACACCAAGTTGTCCGAAGAAGATATCTCTTATCACTTTCTGTTCCAAATCTGCAGCTGTCTCATTGTTCGCTTCTGGAATGCCGAACACAATCATATTATTTCGCCTCTCTCTATCCTCAAGGTTACTTAGCCTTTGTTGCTGCAATTCAATGGTCTTTTCTAGCGAAGTAACTGTGACCTCAACGTTAGCTAGCTTATTTTTGTTTTCTATAATCATTTTTGAGATTTCATCTAGTTGACCAAGCCTATTTTCCGTTGCCCGGAGCCTATTATCCACGGTTCTTTCGTTTGCTTTAATTTCTGCTATATCTTTAGCTATTTCCTTTTGTTTGTCTAATATTTCTCGCAGTAGCTCCTTAGTATCGCTGGCAGGACCTGGGTTTTCCTCTACATCTCCTGATAACAACAGAACAATTCCAGTCTACCAGCAGTTCAACATCTCACAAAGAAATGTGGGGTGCGGCAGCACAAGAACGCATGCATCATTAGATCGAAATTCGAAGTCGAACTTATAGTAACCAACCTGTAAGACTATCCATGCAGTTTTGAGTGACATGACTCTGGGAAAGCTGCCGCCCCCACCGGAGACTGCTGGTCTTGTGTCGGGCTTTATAGGGTTCCCTGGTGACGTCATCGTTGTCTTCTGATGATGATTCCAGTCGATGTCACTGGCGAATCGGGAATGAAGCCACGGTGATTCAGTGCTTGGTGGACGATCGACGTAGACGGTTCCAGATGTATCGCAGTTGATCAGCAGCGGCAGTATCTGTAAGACTATCCATGCAGTTTTGAGTGACATGACTCTGGGAAAGCTGCCGCCGTTTGCTATGCTCTACTTATTACATCACTTCTTCAGATGTTTTCTTAAATCAATCTTCTGTATCATTTACTTTTTTTTTTTTTTGCAACAATTTGTGGT